ACACTGATAATAATAATTGGTTATTGAATGATTTCTGAAGGACCATGTGACACTGAAGACTGATAATAATGTAATGGAATAATGGCTGCTAAAAATAGAAAACACTTGTTTTAACACTTGTTTTGTAATAATATTTCATATTACTGTTTTTACTGTAGTTTGATTAAATAAATGCAAACTTTGTGAGCATAAGAGATCTTTAAAAAAACATTTTAAAAAAATACCTCCCCTCAACTTTTGAACTGTTGTCTATCTTTGAGCTTTTTCATAGATAGATTAGATAGGTAGATTTTTTTATTGTTATTGTTTTGAACAACGAAAGACTGTTTAGCAGCTCACAAGGTTTTGGAATAATAGACAAACATGAATAGATACAAATAAACATAAAACAGACAAGAAGAGAGGTATTCCAGAAGGTAATATATACACTGGTTAGTGCGAGATATTGTAGTGCAAACTGGAGCAAATTAAACAAAACCCAACAGTGCAGAATACAGTATCCATAGTATTGGTGTATACTATAGGAATGTATATCATAGTGCTAGTAAAACATAAACTACTAAAAACACAAAACATGTTTCTTCCGATGTCTGTGGTGGTTGTTGTTTGCACTGTTATTCTTCCTTATTTATGACTTAATGTAGGAATCCCATGCCTAGCTGCTACTGATGCTTAATAAATAAATTGGTGTTTTTATTTGGGTTTTCCACAAAATAAATGTCTAATCATCTATTGCTGGACTATATATGTGGATCAGTGTGCTCATTTAAGCACCTTATCAAACGTATTCTTCAGTGTTGGTTCTGCTCACGTGTATTTCTAGAGAATGCCACTGCCTGGATCCTGCCCTTCACCTCAGGTGGCTTTCTCTACATTGCCTTGGTCAATGTGGTACCTGATCTGCTACAGGAGACCAACCCTAGGTAAAGTGTCCACTTCCCTGAGAATGGGGTCTTTTCGGTCTGTTTGTCTCCCACAGTGTTGCATGTAAAATCCTGCCGGACTTCACATATTAAATAAACTGAATGTCAATGATCATATCCCCTGTTCCCACAGGAACTCCTTTCTGCAAATTCTGCTGTTGTTTTGTGGGATAGCAGTCGTGGCTCTTCTCTCAGTCGTAATGGACTAGCCACAGGCAAGCACTCCTTTTATCAAAGGACATTGAGAGTGCTAACTAGCATGCTGGAGGACTTATGGACAATTCACTCCACTGGTTATGCTTTAATTTAGAGATTTTTGTCACCCTCAAAGACCATGTGAGGAAAGACCAATGAAAGAAACAGCCTTGACAATCGGGTTTGAATGTGTGTCCATGTGATTTTAGCCTTATCCTTCATACACCTCTGTGTCCGGATTTTGTAGCGAATCAGCTCATGGGGAAATATGAATAATTAATCATAACTAGTTATAATTAATTATAAATATTTAGATCCGCTGTAGATATTTACTTGACCTCTCAGGGTCAACTGTCTGTAAATTCTAAGAACGTTAATTTCCTGGTTAAGGGAAATAACTTTCTTACTGTACAATTCTACAAAGAGCTTGTAGCATAAATCTGCATGATTAAGTGACTCCAGTTATGAGCAAACAATGAACAACGTCAAGTGTGATACAAGTAAGACTTTATTAACTACATAAACACTTAAACTAGTCTAAACATACTACATAAACACTTAAACTGGTCTAACATACACATACACACACACATACAGTCATACAGTTGGTATAGGAAAGGGTTAAAGCTTAACCCTATGAATTAATTAGTAGAAAAGTCCATTTCTACTGTGCCTTGTGCCTCTTGCGATGGAACATGCAGTGATTTTCCCTGCTTCGCATTCCATTAGGTCGTAAATGTATCTGGTGTCAGGGTTGCCATGGTAACCAGGGTCCTGGGCCCTGTTCACAGACAACTTGGCACCCAGTATGTTTATTGGGTGAGGGGTCTGTGAACGTTTGTTAATCTAATGAATAATTGATTTGTTAAATCAAATTAAAAATTGTGTTTTTGATTGGTCCAGACGCTACAATTTAATTGAAACTGAACTCACGATGCCTTATAGGCACCAGCTGAAACTGACGGGAAATACAGGTTTGTGCAAATGGTGCTCAGAAATAACAATGGTTGTTTTGGCTGAAATATGCCAAAACATTTGGAACTATTCTCCGTTCTTCTTCATGTTCCTGCTGGGTGTCATTGAACTTTCCAAATCTTTTTTTTTTTGTCAAACACATTTCCAATGTTAGTAGGTTACATCAATGTGATTTGCTTTAATTGTAGCATACTGCAAATGCAGGTTTCACAAGTCAACACTTTATCCTCTATTAAGAGAGGCACATACGCTTGCTTACATAATCAGATTTTTGATGGTCATCATAATTGAGTTTCCTTAAAACTAATACTGCTTCACTTTCTGTTTAAGTTAAATCTATACAAGCTCATTTCACACTTCATTTGCTCAAGTTAAGACATATCCACACTTTGCATGACTACATATTCCTAATTGCACATCCATTAATGAACACTCCTTTTTTCAAACACTTTTGAAATGCTTAACAGGCCTTATTTTCTCGTTGTATTCCTCAGTCAATTTTTTTTCAATTGTGCTGTTTTTGTTTTTCCTTACAGTATTTAGTCTTATTGATTGTGGCCTGATAGCCACTACACTGCTGCATTTTAGCTTTAATTTACTGATATTCTGTACAGTTCATTGTTGTCCTGGCATTGCAATACACAGTTTTCAGTGATTTAGTCTTGAGGATTGATGGATTCATAAGCAGACAGTTCTTTTACTTAACTGACTTGGTGCCATTTCATACATTTCATTCACATTTTTAAAAAGACAAAATAGTTGATAAATGGATTGTCTGTTTGGGAGTTTTGTTTATGGGATGTTACTGAAAAGAATGTTCTGGATGCGTCACATGGAAGGTCAGAACAGTCTTTGCCAGATGGTAAATATTTGAAAAGAGATTATATATTTATTCTATTAACAATGTCATGTTGAAAGGAAAAATGTTTCACTTTTAACTAGTCCCATTGTTATAGTTGAAATAAAGAAATGTTACTGTTTGATTTAAAACTCTTGTTGCATCTGGTTTTTAAGTGTGCGGCTTTTACTTGTAGGAGTGCAACTGCTCCTAGCACTGTAGAAATTCCTTGTAGAAATGTATTAATCAGTTCAGCCAACAGTTTGTCAAATCTGAGTCATTTGTTAACCTCCTAACAAAGTGTCTCTTCTCTTTACTGCTGAAAATCTGTTTGGCTTAAAGTGACAGTTCATCCCAAAATGAAAATTCTGTCATTTACTCACCCTCAGCTTGTTCCTAAATATACAAGTTTCTTTGGTTACACTTTATTTTAAAATGTCCTTGTTACAGTGTAATTATACATATAAGTACTGAGTAATAATAATTAACTACTTACTGTATGGTTAGGGTTAAGATTTGGGTTTGGCTTAGGGTTACTTGCATGAAATTATGCATAATTAATTGTTATTATAATAGTAAGTATGTGTAAACAAGGACACCTTAAGATTAACCAAAAGATGATATATTGACGAATGTTGATAACCAACAACATGAGGGTAAATTAGAGTAAATTACGGGTTTTTTTTATTTTTGGGTGAACTATCCCTGTAAGGGACGAAACAGATTTACCTTGTTTTACCTGCTTTGGTACATTTGAGGACCATGTTCTGATCCACATTTAACCATTGACAGCTTTTTCTATTTCGGGTTTATAAAAATGCTAACACATATTTGTGATATTTCACTTTTATGTCTTTTTTTTTTTTAGATGCAGAACCATTCTCTCCAGTAGATTGCTTGTGACACTGAAGTGATGCATGTTGAGTGAGTGTCATTCCTGCATTGAAACAGGCCTTTTCTATTGAATTATTGAGTTAATGGACTCAGAATGACAGAATTAACAGTTCTGGTTTTCATGTCAGAATGACACTGCATATACAGTACCTTTCTGAAGTAGGAAAATGCATTTAATAATGAAGATGCAATGTTTCCAGCATAAGTTGCACATGACCTGCTAAATTACCACCTATTCCTTTGCTGTTACATGTCCATGCGGAGGAACCATTATGCCAAATGACTCTCATGAGATTGCTGCCTCTACCATTATGGACTCCCCACCATGTTTAACAGTTAGCAACCTAGACTGTGCTTTTGTGATGTGTCCATGAGCTTTGGCTTTCCACTACTGTTCCTCTATGCTGATGCAGTTTGTTTGGATGACAACTGTGTGGGGTTTATTTGCGCATTTTAGGTCTCAGTCTGCAAGGTCTTTGTGTTTTTTAATGCGATATGTCATACTCAAATGGCTCGCTCCAAGTCCTGTATGTGTTCAAAGTACCATTTCTGCAACGATGTCGGCTATGCCAAGATGCGTGCCACAAGCACATTTTTACTGCACAGTCTGGGTCTGGAATGTCATATGGGAATCAGGGGGTGGTACTGATTTTGTGTTCACACTTGTCCTATTTCAACACAGTCTGTTTGGCAAGGGACTGTTGCCATAACGACTAGCCTGTGGGTTGTCTTCCTTTGTCATCTGCCCTGACAGAGCCCACTGTGTGTGGGAAACCACCTGGAACTTTAGACAATGATATACCACTTTTTATATTTGAAAGCATTTATGCCTTGTCCTTCAAAACCACTTTTAATGGGCACCTAAAACGTGGCTGCTTGTACTTACATGATTTATTCTCCTGTATCTTGACCTGAACTTCCCACGCTTTTGAAACTCTTCTCAGTGCTTCTCTCCCTCTCTGTGGGCCACCTCCATGGATGGCAGGTGGCAAGTTAGTGCTGCTACAGTTCACACAAGTATATTAATAAAACAGTTGAGTGCACCTGATCATGGGAAAATGGTGAGAAATATATAGAGAGGAGCAGTGAAGGAAAATAATGCTGAAATAACAAGAATGTCTGGAAAGGACAGATGCAGAGTTTTAGATTTGGCCCACCGGATGTAATGTGGAAGGGAAAATGTCTATCACATTTTATATTTCAGTCTAAATGAATGTTTTATTATAGCACAGTAATAAGTACTTTCTCACCTCTTATAATATGGGTTAGATTGCAGCTGGGAATGATTTAGAAGACAAAGTCTACCGTATGTCGGCAGGACACTGCTGTCTTCTGGGAGTTTCCTTTGAGCAATTTTCTGTTCAGTTTTGTATACTTTTCTGAAAGTACACTACACATATATATATATATATATGCAAAACATGCAATATGCATAACATGCAAAACATGTTTGTTGCTACTGAGGTGGGTTAGGAAAGAAAAGTATTTCCCAGGCTCGGACCCGAGGGTCCCAAACTGGGTTAAGGGGTAAGGGTAGGGTCAGGAGTGGAATTATAGATGTAACTACAGAAAATAAATTCCAGTTCTAATTACATGCAGCTATTTGTACATTTACAATGTAAAAACATGTATCTACACAATAAGTGCACTGTATGAAATTAAATCTTAGTACACAGTAGCTGACACTTTATATAAAGTGGGGGAAAAGATTTTTGGGGATTTTCTAAATGTCTTCTTTTTTTTTTTTCTTTTTTTTTACAGTAAACAACTGATGGATATAAGTGGGTAAAGATCATCACTTTTTATACAGTAAAAAAAAGGTAATATACTGAATGTTTAAATCTTTTTTAAAAACTACTTAAATCACCTTTCCAAAATGGAAAAGGCATCCATTTAGTGGAATGCCCACCAATTAATAATGAAAGATGTTTAAATGCCAAGGAGAGCAAGAGAACTAATAGGATACAGTATAACTAGTCTTGAAGAAATATTTGTACAGCTGGTTGGATCTGTGATGCTGTGCCGGAGTTTGTGATCAATAAATCACAATCACAATTATTGTGATCAATAAATGACCCTCTCATGTTTATCACTTATTCCTCGTGTTCCTGAGGCACCTAATTGGTGTCTTCTCAGTTCGCTGAGGCCCAAGAGGAAAGAGAGAGCACTGCACTCTCACGAAGCACCACTCACTCAGTCCTGGTCCTCGCATCGCCTCTCCTCTTCCCATCTCTCCCATTCTCCTCGACTCAAAAGCAAAACAGATGGTGGGAAAGCAGCACATCTGTTCGGGCGCTCTGCAACAATAGACCGCATCGAGCTGGAGTCGAGCCTGGTCATGTCAGCTTCCGAGAGCTGCTAAGGATTCGGTGTGTTTTCGCCTTTCACAAAGGCTGCCGAGGGAGGACCGCGCGTCTGTCTGGGTTCTCCAACGAGCGGAGAAGATGGCGGCCATTAAGATTTTAACCAGCGCGGGGCTTTTCTTGGCGTTTTGCGCACTGGTCTTGTTGACTATGGCCATCTGCACCGATTACTGGTACGAGACGGATGCTCGGCGGCATCGCGAGCGCTGTAAGAACTACGCAAACAAGCGTAACGATCCCGGATACATTTACATCTCAAATCACAACTTGCCTCTCCAGATGCCTCCAAAGGGCTATGAGAGGAAAGCGACGGAGACACGCCTGAAGCGGCACGCTCCAGCTTCGGCGACGGCCATGGAGTCTCACTGTGGCCGCCAGTTCAATTCCACGATCTCCGGTCTGTGGAGAAAGTGCCATCGCGAGGGCTTTGACCTGGAGACCGAGGATCTCATTTACAAAGGTGAGCTGCTTTCTGTTTTGAGGTGCTTTGTCAGCCTCGGTCCAGGGCTCCAGGCCGTTTTGTTTTGAAGGGAACGGATGTGGACGTTAATCCAGGGGTAAATTTCACACGATCATTTTTCCTTACTATTATCAATGCACTTGGCCATTGGGTTAGGTTGGTTCTTCCTGTTTACCTACATGGCATTAACCTCCGCTTAGTTTCATTTCCTTTATTAAATGATGTTGTTAGTTTAGTTGGAAAGCTATGTCAATAGTAAATGGGAAATGTGGAAGGCCTGAATCAGATAACTGTCGCTATCCAAGGTGCTGAATTCAGCCTACCTGTGTCACAGATAGTTGCTTATATACCACGAAAAGGTGCACTTACACACCATTTAATTCTGCAGTGCTATATAAATGCATTAATGGATCAGTGACGAATACGGATGTCTGAGATGATAAAAAAGAATTAGAAGAAGAGACATGGAAACCTGAATGTTGGTTAAACCACACTCATTTGAAAGATTTATTTCGTTTTTTTTTTTATAATATATAAATAATATTGTTAAAGAAAACGAGATTATGCCAGTCTACCTAACCTCCTTTTCTTTGTTCAAGACTTTCAGCCTTTTTTTAATTGTTCTTATTTTATTTATTTTATTACTTTTACATTATCTAGATGTTTTTTACTTTAAGCTCCACAAAAAAAAGAAAATATATAAAAGAAAACTTCTAAAAAGCATATTCATCATGAACTGAAGTAATTTATTTAATGTATTTTTGAATGACAGATCTTAACAAAAAGAGGGTTTGCAGACCTTTAATTGTTTTCTCTTTTAAAATGTTTTCTATCATTAAATAGCCAGTTGAATAAAGGCATTTTCGTATTTTTTTAAGTGTGTATTGGATCACTGTTTTCACTGTTTCCAACCAAAAAGCACCTTATCTCACAGAGCTTCAGAGCATAAAGAATTTTTGTTGTTGTTATTGTTGTTTTTTAAAAGTCTTTGCATTCTCATTTACACAGAACCAAAGCAGCACCAGATGTGTTGTGTATGCATTATAAATCTCATGTAATTGAAATGCTCAGGGTTGACGAAAACAAAACAAAATGAGCAGTCTTTACAGGAGGAAGGACAGTGAAATGCACTGTTCAAGTGTGGCATATAAATGGAGTACCACTAAATACGAGTATTGGTTTTGTAAAACAACTGTTGACCTACTCAGATAAGTTAAGGAATGCCTAGACCATATAGTTTATCAGATAACATTATCCATAATAAGATGATTCAACTTAAGCAAAATGATTATATTTTACTTACCCTCATCATATGAATACTGATCTCATATAAGAGGCTTACAGCACTCCTCTCTACCATTTGGTACAGTATTCTTCGATAAAGATCTCATTCCACATTATGTTCAGGCCTTAAATATTAAGTGTGAGCTTTTACAGTAGCCTTTTCTCCTGCTGGGTTGCAAAGAGATAAAATGTTGCTCACTTGATCATATCTTCATCAATAATTTGTTCATTGATTATCCCAGGTCACCCTAAGTGGCTCTGTAGATGTCATGAATGATGAAGTAGTGATGGTGTGTTAGGCTGTGAGCCAACACCCAGGAATACATCGCTTCCAGATTTAAGGTCCAGTTTATTCACCAACCCTTCACTATCAACACAGTAATCTTTGTGTTCACATAAAGCAGCCAGAACATTGTTCTTCATTGTCAGTAATACTCTTCTTAAACAAATAAACATATTTGGTCCTAAATGTAAAAACAGTACAAAATAGATGGTTACTTGTCTTCATGGTTAAAAAAAAATAACCGAGCACTGTAAATCCACCAAAATAAAGTAGAAATGATCCTTACAGAACTGGAACTGTTCAGACTGAATCCAGTGATTACAGTACACAATGTGTCCTCTTATCCAAATTGAAAATGCTTTAAAAAGTTGAATGAGACTAAGTGTCACATGTCAAGTATCTTTAAAGAGTCATTTTAAAGTAAAGCATTAACATCAATAAAATGTGCTGTGCAAATTTTCAAATGTGTTTTTTTTTTTTTATCTGATCTGCAGGGGTATTTTCTTTTTCATCTGTTGTAACTCTAGTTCAACAATTAATTTGAAGTCTCTGTAGTTTCCATCAGATATCACAGGTTTTCGTTTGTGTTTTTTATTGTTTACACAAATGATATATGCACTTTCTTCAGCAGAGGATGAACAGTTGAATGTGCAAAGTGTCTTTGTGACAGCTTCACGGTCTTTGATGTGTCTGTTTGTGATAATAATGGCATAGAACAAGCTGTCACAATATATTGGACACATAGATATGATAAACATGATACAAGTACTCAGCTCACGCACAAGGTCTGGACAAATCATTTCACCACAGATCTGTACAGCAACAAACTCAATGCGTTTTGCGCCTTTGTAGAAAATACTTGAATGAATTTAACAGTCCAGTTTCTGTAAAGACAATTATTAAATGGCGGCACATCCTTTTCTTTATCCTTGACCTCTCCTCTCTTGTTTAGTCTAATCCACAATCTCAGCAGAATCCATTTTTACACACTCAAGTCATGCAGCATTCGTGCTTTATATTCTGTGGTGAATAAATCGTGTTTAAACTAGGCGTTTTGATGTAGCAGGATGTGGTCATGCTCCGATGGGCTATGAGAACCAATTTGTTGTATGTTTTAGTCATTCAGTTGACTTATCCTGCTGAAAGCCAGTTTCTGCATCATCAAATCTGTCAGAAGAATATCATTGCTATTAGTGAAGTGTAAACAGGTGATTAATATCATCCGAGATTAGCTCCCAACAGAAGTTTCCTAATATTCTTCAGGTTGCACATATATACTGTTTACTGTACATGTTAGAGTTTCGAGGCTATGTCTGGAGATCTATCGTTACTCAGTGCCTTGGTCTGGATCCTGGTCTTGGCTTATGGTCTCAGACAAAGACTGCTACTCCAGGACCTGCTCACATCATGCCACTTAAGTCAAAGTTTACTCATGTCATATCTACCAAGTCAGAACCTGTTCACTTCATGTCTGCCAAGCCAGAGTCTGCTAACATCATGTCTGCTACCCCAGGGCCTGCTCACGTCACGTCTGCCAAACCAGAGCCTGCTTCCGTCATGTCTGCTACACCAAGTCCTCTTCACGTCACGTCTGCCAAGCCAGAGCCTGCTCACATCATGCCGGTTACTCAGGAGATTCTTTACAATATGGCCGCCATTGAAGAGCTTCATCGCAAGATGGCCGCCACACAAGAGTCTCTTCACAAAATGGCCGCCCTTCTAGAGTCTCATCACGTATCAACTGATCTTCCAGAGTCTCGTCACGACATGGCTGCCATTTCAGAGTCTGCTCACGTTACGCCTGAGTCCCCGGCCAAGATGGCCGCCACGCCTGAGTCCCCGGCCAAGATGGCCGCCACGCCTGAGTCCCCGG